CAGTGGAAAAGATATGGAGAGCAGGTAGGAAAGCCTTGGCGAAGTGACGGAGTGGCAGTAGGGTCAATCGCAGTATCTCCCGATGAAACAATGGTCGTGAGTGGAAACACTGGTGGCATAGTACAGCTGTGGAAGGAGGGCAACATGGTCAGAGATCCATGGCAGGGGCATAATGCTGCAGTGAGGTGTCTCGATTGGTCTCCCAATGTCCGCGAGGTAGCAAGTGGATCACAAGATGGTACCATACGACGCTGGAACCCTGACACTGGCCGACAAATCGCACTACCCATAGAAACCGGTCATGGTTGGGTGAATACCGTCAAATACTCTCCACAGGGCGACAACTTCGCGAGCGGCGGGGAGGACGGTATGATCCGGGTGTGGTCAAAGGACGGCAAGCTGCTCATCGAGATCAAAGGACATATATCCTCGGTGAATTCGTTGTGCTGGTCCAAGGATGGCATACACATCTTCTCCGGATCAAAGGATAAAACCATCCGAAAATGGCAGTCAATTGATGGCAAAAAGCTCATCGTTCTTCGAGGTCATACCAAGGCCGTCAGATGCCTCTGTCTTTCCCCAGATGAACACCATCTTCTCAGCGTATCAACAGACTGCTCAGTTCGCATCTGGGACATCAAGACCAATCAGCAAGTCGGAGAGCCACTCTTGCACGACGACGAGCTCTCAGCTCTTGCGATATCTTCCGACGGACGATACCTCGCTAGCGGTGGGTTGGATAAAAATATATATCTATGGAGCATAGAGGCAGCACTCAGGAAGGGTGGTGACCAAGTTCGTGTGCGTGTATACATTACTGTTATCAGCGCATTCTCTGATCAGAGTTGCATGATGGTAACCCACAGTCCGTCGCAAAGCTTGAGGCAAGTCGTTCAAGTTCTGGTTCGCCTTTCACACCATGGTCCATGTCTCACTTTTTTTTTACCAGGAACGCGCAACTTTATCTGGAGATGTACGCTAATCCGTCATAAACAGCCTCATCCTCTCACATACCTCATTAGGTCCCGAACCACTTTGTCCCGTCAAAACAGCAGGCCAACAACAGAGCCATAGGAATATACGTCAGTATAGTTCTTTCTTTCCTCAGTTCTCAGCCTGAAAATGATTCCAGGGGGATGGCCTCGGGAGGAATGGCACAAATCGCGCTTCTCAACGCTCGGATCCACTCACTGGCCCACGTATGCGGAGTGAGTTCTGAATTATATTTTTGCCAATATGTTTAACTCCTTTTCCAGAGCCCCGTCAGCAGTATCTTATTCCATCTGACGCAGAAGGCGCAATTCGAAAGGTCATTCATGCTCAACTGGAGAATGCCCCGCCTCGTCTATTCGATACCACCACTGGCATTTTGCATGATCGAGACGCACAGATAAAAGCCTTCCAAACGACCACTCAGTACAAGGAGCTCTTATCATCACCGATGAATCATGCAGACCTACGACTGGAACACATCAAAGAAGCGGCCGTGATATACTTCCGTTATGCCATGCTATCGCATAGGTGGGAAGGAAAGGAGCCACTGCTGCACGACGTACAGGACAAGGTCGTGTATTACTTGAACTCAGTCGGCGGTATCCTTAAGTTGCAGTCGTTCTGCAAAGCTGCTCGTGATGCCGGGCTTCGCTGGGCTTGGAGCGATACATGCTGCATCGATAAGAGCAACAATGTCGAGCTGCAAGAATCAGTCAACTCTATGTTTATCTGGTATCGTCACTCGACGCTCACGATCATTTACCTCTCCGATGTTTCGCCTTCGTCCAAGTCTGGCGCGCTGGCAAGGAGTGCTTGGAACGAGCGAGGCTGGACGGTTCAGGAATTCCTCGCTCCCAAAGTCGTTGT